AGAAACTTTCCGATCGCACCTCGTATAGTTCCAGAACTATCATTATACCCTGCCGAAAATGACATGTGAGGGTACTATTTTATTTATTTATTGTTTATTTTCTGTAACTCACACTATGTGGCGTCGAATAATGAATTGGAAAGGAAGCGTTCGTGGCCTTATTTAAGGTATTATCCCGGAATTTGTCTGGAAGGACTGTTGAAAACCACGAAAGCTCTCAGTGGGGGATAACGGGTCTCCGGGTAGAGATTTGAACCCGGGACCTCCCGAATATGAAGAAGGAGACAACGACCTTCGGCGTGAAATTAACTGTACAGACGAACAGAATGAGAAATGGATGGATGTGGCTCAATGGAGTGACCAATGGCGACATTGCACTACATGTGTTGACTGAAATTCCATGTTCTTCTGCTTCTACTTATACTACTACCACCATTATTAGTAGTATTACCTGAGAGTGAATGAGTTAACACTGTAACGGTAAGAGACGAAGACACGTGAAATGGAACAGAAAAATATAACACATAAAAGAAAATTTGCACTAATTCTAATGTGTCAACATAGTTTACGAAAAGTTCGTCCAGCAGGAACCCTATCAAGAACTAGAATGTTGAACCCAATCAGAAAATTGAACACTGCTGATGCTGAAGCCCTCAGATGAACAGGATCCTGAGTCAGTTCCATCGTCCTCCTATCCTCATAACAAATTTCTCTAAATTAAATGTTAATATTACACTCGTACTATCGTTTTCTTCCTGGTTAGTCGCTTTTAGGTTGTTTATTTTATCAAGATTCAGCACACATTTTCTTGCTTCTAGTAGCTGAAGTGCATGTCCACAGCTCGTACAAAGAGGAGAAAAATCTTAGACACGAGGAGAACGAGAATGAGATGGAGACGGAAGAGCTGGAGTAAGTTATAAGAAGATAAAGTTGAAAAAAGATAAAGGGAGAAATGAGAGAATATGGAGAAAACGATGAATACGACTGTTATAATAATGCACAGCCCAGATGGATTAAATACGATAAGCATTTCCTCAGTTTGCGACGAAACGGTCCTGACCGCAATCTTGGGATGTCAGTTAAAATTGCTGATAATTTAATTATCATGCGATAGCGAAGTTATCCACGCACATCAGGGTTACCTATTCACCCATTTCCACATCGCTACTAACAAGACAAATGTGACTGACAATGCTATTTTGACCAAGTCAGTGATTTCAAGAAAGCTTGGTGATCTTTAGGGTTCCGCAAGCAATGGCGGTCTTTAATATGAACCCAAGCTCTTCATGGGTTTTCTTAGTCTCCCTAGAAGAATGCCGAAATAACAGCTGAAACCGTTCTGTTGAAAGTATGGCGAAGTTGTCACTGTACATAAATACCACGCCATGAAGGAGGAAAGAATGTTTAGCGAATTTTAACCTCGGCACCAGACCGGTTAATGGCCAGTTTTTGATCAGACTGCCGATGTATCCATCCTTTTCAGTGTGTTTCGTGCGGCTTTGCTAAAAGTTTCTGGGTTAATATAGACAATTGTCTGTTCAGTACTGTTTCAGTTCCCCATCTCGTGAATTATTCGAGAAAACGCCTTCCTTCGAGAAATTCTCGCAGAAAGACGTCTGGCAGGGTAAATGAAGTCTGGAGACAGCGGCGGTCGTAATTTCAGCTCTTCTGTCGCATTTGTCACAGATAATCCATTTTCTTGGGGCAATCTGATCCTAGATTTCTGCGGAAATCGCGCTAGTGATTCTTCAAAGTTGCGGAAAACGTCGCGTGTGAACACTGAGCGACGCCGATCATGTTTCCTGTCGCAATTGTTACTTGCCGATGTATCGTCTCATTCGGTACTTCCTTGTCAGGATACTTATCTTAGTGCTCGAAACTTCATGAACAGCAAAAGACGACAGCAATGCAAAGTAACGTTGAAAAATGAACACACATTCTCCTCGTGAATAAATTATGTTCACACCTACACAGATTTTGCGCAAGTGGATTGAGTAGCGGCCTAACAGCCCGAGTGACCTTGATTCGAATGTCATGGCAAAGGATGGGAGAATCTATCACACGGACGTTGACCTTCTGGTTTCATTTGTACCTAAATCTAGTGCGTAATCGTTTATAAAGTTGGGTTTTAAATGGTATATTCTTTATGCACGTGCGTGTCAGTGCGCTTTTTACAGAACTGATCCGGTTGTCAGACTTCGTATTCACGTGTTATGAAGAATACTTAACAAACAGCAGACTTACCTGCTGGATGGCGGTTTCGAGGGGCACGCCGTTCTTGATGAGGTCTTCAGTAAGAGCGCTCTCGGTCAGCACCTGCTCCGACAGAATGTTCTCGTTGACATCAGCCACTCTGGGCTTCACCAGACACTGTTGTAGCCCCACCACCTGCAAAACGACACATGTTTCTCAGTTCTCTTAGTCATATTTACCGCCTTTTTCAACCCACTGTTTCATTTTTGTCTTCAGACAAGCCTTATTTGGGCTTCCCGTGAGCGTACGTAATTTCCGTGTTATTTACACTAAATAAAGGAAATCACAGGTGGATATAAGATGTGGTTCTATACAGCTCTCTCGTGGCGTCTTTCACGAGAACTACAAATATCAAAATATAGGCCCATGTTTAGCAACAAATAAGTAACAAAAGACAGATAAAAACTGATTAGGGTAAAACAAGTCTCAACCAATATTCACGTAACGCGCATGCATCAAAATAACTTCGTATCTCAAAATACATATTTAATAATAAATAAATCACTAAAAGGAAATGAAAAGTGGCTGGGGCACGAAAGACCTCAAATAGTTTGTCCTGATTGAAGTAAAAATTGGGAATTTAAAAATATGTGCGTAGTAATATATGGATTATTGAAATAGGTAAAAATGACTGGGGTAACAGAAACCCCGTGTGGATTTTACATAAAAATAAAGGAAGAAGTGTCGAACAGATAAAAAAGGAAAGTCTTCCTCACGCTTAATAGCATAAAGTAAAGACTCATTTCAAAGTCGATCAACAGAGATCACCATACTGCGTATAGCTCCAATTACCTTCCACTGCACTTCGTTTACACTACAGTAAAAAAACTTCCAAATAAATGTTTTTAACACTAACATTTAAAATACATGTAAGAACCGAAAGTAATGTAGTACTGAAAGCAGCGGTCTGGCCTTTTAAGAGTGAAACAAAGCATTCATTAGAAGCAATGAGTGAAAATTTATGCAAGTAAAAGGCAGTACAGCATTTTAAAATTTAAAGTGTTACATTTTTTAGCAAATTATAATTGTTCTAACAAGTAAGTTTATTTTAACTTGACATTCTGGAAGATTTAAACGTTTTCGTGTTCTTAAAATATAAATATTTTTAAAATATTAATGTTTATACACATGTCAGTATGTATGTACTTTAACCAAAAGTGACACACTACATGAATACTGATTACGGTCTGACAGGAGCCGAAACGCTTTTGTCTGTATAATACGGCAACTAATATCATTAAAAGTCGTTGGTACATATATAAAAAGAATATTTGGTTGATTTTCATTTCGGCATTATATTGATTATAAAGGGCCGATAAGGAACAACGTGACAAAATATTCTGTAGATCAGTAATGTCAAATTACAACAAAATCCGTTCGGAGATTACGTGGATTGCATGAATTGTAAATAATTCATGATAATCCAACTACAACATCGTTATAAGTGCAAAAATACACGCTGTTCGTGGCAACAGAGAAGAGTCCCTATACTAAAACAAATTCAGCCTCTTATCAGCCAGTTATGCGGGCGTCAAGACCGAACATCTGCACCTTGAAAGGTTGCTGTACTGGGCGAGGGTATGTGTACCGTTAGATTTAACATTCGCGCACGTTAACCATTTTGTTAAGCCTGGTCCTATGACATCATCAGTGGTTCTCAAGTCGGCGAATACAAAGATCACTGACTTGTGGGACGTTGCGCAGTGTCACCGTTATGTTGGGAGCAGCAAGTACCTCTGAAACGTCGGCAAACTTCCACCAGAATACACGACACAACATCCAGAATAAACTGAGGTCGTTGGCCGCGGTAGCAATTCGAAAAGGGTGTGCTAAGCCATATAAAACCAAGAGAGATTTTAGATTCTCGTGGTGATAAATATGCTCATGGCTGTCTTTCGGGATGTTGAATCATTCATCAAGTAGTAGGTTCCTCTGAAATGTCGATCAAAATCTACCAGACTGTATGACTCCATTTTACATTTTCGCAGCGTATTCCACAAGATATATGCCGATACTATCTTTCCAGATTGGTCTCTCATGTCCTCTCTCTCTCCTTCAGGTCGTCCAATTAAAGTCCTGTGTGCATCTTTCATCTTTCTCCTGCGGTTAAAAGCTACATCTCATCTCATTCGATTTGGCCACCTTAATTAATATTCAGTGAAGAGTACAAATTATTAATCTTCTCATTACACAATTCCAACTTAACTTTGCTTACTCTTCTTCAGACTTAAAAAATTCCTCAGCTACCGGTTTTTAAACACCCTCATCTGTGACCTTCCCTTAATTTGAGTGACCAAGTTTCACATTATTCTAAACGCAGCAATAGGCAATATTATTATATTTTCTTTTATGTTAATGTTTACATTCCAAAGAAACTGGAAGAAAAAGTAGTCACCATTCCCCGAATCTACTCTGAATTCCTTCATTTGTTATTGTCATTCTCAAATATTTGAACTTCCGAAGGATTTTATACTGTCTTTACATAATTATTTTATATTGAATTATACTAACAAAATATTAACACGCACTTAAGTATTTTTTTTAATGAAAAGGTAACCTCCTTAATAATGTCTACTGGAGATGCTGTATTATATTTATGGTACTTACATTTTCTCCCCCCCTCCCCCAAATAACATCAGCATAGACCAGAAACCGTAGTGACCCATTCCAGTTCCTCCCAATTTTATTTAATATTCGCAAAGGCTTAATCTGGAGTTGAAAAGCAATTGCGACAAGGCATCTCTTTTCTCAGACAACTGTGGACAAGAAGTCTTGTAGACAAATAAAATCCTCCATGTATAGAGAACTCAATTCTTCCTGAGAAGCCAGTAGTCAGCCAGTCAACAACGCAACTGCGTCAAAAGAACTCATATGTTACGGTTAATTAATCTCGCTACATATTTTAAAAAACTTAGATGTTTTTCCGTTGGTGTCAGAGACGAGACATCGTTTTACTAAATCCACAGGCCTAATAGGTTAACACTGTATAGAATACATTAAGGAAATAATACAACACATGCGTGTGAACTCAAATGCTTCCAAAGGTATAAAAGGAGTCCTAGAAGACATCCCGAAACGACGAACAATCTGGACAGAAGGTATGCTGACACAGTTTCGAACCAGAGTACTTCCAAAATACGATACAAGGGTACTGACCACTTGACAAAGACGTTTGATGGTTGCAGTTTTAATGCACAAGCTTTCCTGCTTTTAATAATGCGGCAATGAAACAAGAGAACATTCGAGCGAAATAAAATATGCCTATTGAATCACCTGCATTTACGTAAAGTAATTTAAAATAAAGATGACTAGACTTGGCGGTATAATCATTGTACCTGTTTTGTTACCGTAAATCTGTTACGTTTTGGTACAGATATATTATCCAGTGACGAAGTAATATTTATCAATGGTGCATATATTTATTTGACAACCTGTTGCATATCCTAACAGCAAGGAAAAGCACTGTCATCCTAACATCTGTGATGTCCGAAGGTCATGAGGAAAATCACATAAGCGAAGGTTAAACATCGTTCTTTGCACAAAGTCCATAAAAGGAATTATAGTGTGTTTCAGAAACTTAAAAAAAGGATTTTGATAAAATCTGCTATTTGGGATCTACACAAAAAACCGTAGAATGAATTTAATTTTGGTTCGTAATGGTCAAATATACGCCATACAATAAATCATAAGAGGCACACCGTAAAATATTATGCATGACATAGACTAAATTACAATCTGGCAGAAATCCACATTTATTATTTTAAACATTCTTCGATACAGAAGAATGCAACGAAATATAATGACAAATTCTAGCTGTAAGTAATATGAATAAAGATTGCAGTAGTGAATTCACATAACGTAAGAAACCTATTAACGACCACTTCTGTCTTGTCCTTGAAGAAATTACATAATTTTTATTAAAATGCTAATTAGTTATTACAAACTGTTGCCGACTGGTTATTGAAAATTAATGTGAGTCTGTACATTTTATATTACGTTGTAGGAATGGTGATACCATGCAGCAACGGATAGACAAATAATGAAGATCGCTGAAGTAAAATTCAGTTTATTGAAAGATGTCCAAAACAAAATTTATATCAGCGAAAACGCAGTTTAACAATTAAAAAAATAATTTAAAATATCCACCTACTTAATGTGGATTAGCAATAAATAGCCATAAAGACCAACGAGATACATAAAATGGCAAAAACACATTTATAAAATATATGTACTCAAATTTAGGTAAATAATTCCACATTTATAAAGTCTTCTCTGGCTATCAGCCGACGTTTCGAGATGGTCCTCGAAACGTCGGCGATTGATCACCAACTAACACGGCTGATAACCCGAGAAGACTTTATTAATGAAAGCCGCCGTGAAAGCTTCACATCATATAGTTCCACATTTGTCGTGTGTTCGCACAAACTTTTTCCACACACGATTCCCAGTGAGTCCCTCTCACAGTGCGTTACTTCGGTCAACAATTACCACGTTCAGAACAGGAACTTTCACTATGCCGGACGTGCTATGGCGGAAAAACTGTCTTTACGATTCTAAAAATCTCGTTTGTTACAATTACGGAGACGAAAGTTCATTTCGTCTTTGGCCTCCTGCACAGGAAAATTTCGCCTCAAAACAGAGCGGATTACAGACTACGAATCTCACTTCGTTATGATTAATGAAAACAATTATGAAATAAGTACCGATTCACTGAAAAATATCCATCGTGTCAAGTCCCAAAAGACGACCGAATTCTGGAATGTTGAAACGTCAGCAAACTTCTACCAGACTATGCGACGTAACACACCAGACGACAGAAATTGCCATGAATAGGCCTATATATTTAATGTAGCTCAACCAAGAAAATATATTATGTGTCTGACAGATCCACTGCCTCGGAATTCTAAGGCGCAACAAGCCAGAAGTCCTGCTCCGTAAAACCAGAACAACGCAGACTTAATTTACTTTAATGCGAAAAAAATTGCATTTATTAGTCGTGGAACCGGAAACATGACAACTAGCACCACCAGTTATAATACCTTACAGGCACATAATAACGAACATAGAAATACAATGCCATTTCTTGAAAAAACCTACTACGTTTATATAACGATTCTACGTTCAGCACGTAAAAT